CCCTCACTGAGGCTGACTCTCATGAGTTACAATTGTAAATGAGAATTATGTATTTTAGAGTAGAAAAGGCTTTAGAAATGATCCAGGCTGGAAGTTTTTAAGGAGTGTTCTTCATGGCCTCTGCTTCCCCTGGGACATCCCGAGGAAGGCTGCAGTGTTGCCTAAGGAACGGAGCTGGTAGGCCTCTGGCTTTTGACCTCTTTTAACCAGAAAAGTGCTGCTTTTATCAGTTGTCAATAGTGAGATTTTCATAAGATTTCATTTTGGGAATACAAAAGTATTCTGTTCCTTGCCCCAACCCCTCAAAAAAAAAAAAAAGAGTTTGAAATGCTGCTTTGGCCAATACTTCATTTCATGGATAAGGGAAGTGAAAAAACACTCAAGTTACAGATTCAAGACTTTGCCTTCTTCTTTCCACCCTACCAAGTCTTTGGATTCTCCCTTCTTGGAGCACTTCCTTTAGATGTTTTCAATGCCATTTGACCAGACTCCACACTGAACTGTACTCTTGTGAGCTTTGTCCAGTAAAAATTTATTAAATTCAAATTCCCCCTAAAAGTTCTACAACTGTTTATGAAGCCCCTTCTATGACTGCCATCATCATTCTTACTAAGTTATTGATTGCCAAGACTCTAAGTTTCATTTAAAATATATTTAAAGATTTGTTCACTTGTTGAAATCCAAATATATTTCAAAAAGTGAACAATCCAAATATATTTGGATTTCAAAAAGTGAACAAATCTTTAGATGTATTTTAAGAGAATTTCTTAAGTACTACAAAAATGTGTTCTACACATTCAGACAATGAAGATGAGTATAGCGTAAAAAGCAAAAGTGTTTCTTCATCCATCCATCAGCCTTCCCCTAAGATCAATTAACTTTTTAGCCCACTATGGAACCACTGTTAAAATTTTCAGATATTGAAGATACTACTCTATGAATCTACCTACATTCACATATAGTTTTAATTCTCTCCATATAAATAAAACCGAACTCCTCATATTGTTATGTGACTTGATTTTTTTACTTCTAAAAAGTCATAGAGATATTTCCAAGTAAGTCCATCTGTATCAATGTTACTCTTTAAAAATTCTTCACAGTATTTTCATTATATTTCTTGAGGCATATGTCACTAAAAATGGGCAAATAGATGGTTTTCTTTTCTTTTTTTTTTTTGCCATTAAAAATACTCTTGCAATAAACATTCTTGTATATACTTTCACGTACACATTTGAAAGTATATTTCTTAGCCTGGGCGAGGTGGCTCACACCTATAATCCCAACAATTTGGAAGGCAGAGGCTGGTGGATCACTTGAGGTCAGGAGTTTGAGACCAGCCTGGCCAACATGACGAAATCCCGTCTCTATTAAAAATACAGAAATTAGCCCGGTATGGTGTGTGAGCACATCTTCAGTTCCAACTATTCAGAAGGCTGAGGTGGGAGAATTGCTTGAAGCTGGGAGATTGTAGTGGCAGGAGATCATGCCACTGCACTCCAGCCTGTCTAAAAATAAAAAATAATAAAAATAATTAATAAATAGTGGAAGTATATCTTTAGAATAAATACCAGGAGAATTTCACAGTCAATTAAAAACCTTGATAGATGTAGACAAACTGCCCTCCAAATACCCGTATTCATTTCTGTTTCCATTAATACTTTCAACCAATACAAAATATTTTAACTTGTATATTTTTCTCTTTTATTATATTTTAAATTTTATATCTTTAATTTTCCTAGTGAAAAAAATTATTATTTTTTAAGTCTGTTAATTCACAGGGTAGAATGTCTTTGCATTTGTTATTTCATTTGTATTTTGTTCTGTAAATTATCTGTTTATATCTGCACATTTTTCTCTTTGGTTGTCTTTTTCTTATTCATTTATAGCTTTTAAAAAGTATTTTTGACATTTTTAAGATACATAATATATTTTAATCCTTCATTATACATATTACATATTTTTTCTTCATTTATTTTGTAACTGTTAACTTTGTTTATGGTCTATTTGATATATAAAATTTATATTTACATACAGCAACATCTGTCAGTCTTTTGCCTTATGCCTTCTGCAAGCCCTGTCAAATTTTTCTTCCTCATTCAAACAATTCTCTCCACCCTTCTTTCTGTCATTCTTGCCTAAGGCACTATTTTCTCTTGCCAAGACCACTGCAATAGCCTCATAAATGATCTGCCAGTTTCCACTCTTGCCTCTCCACAATTCATTGTCCACACCTTTCTTATTAAAAAATGTTTATGGGATATTACTTTGTTTAAAATTATTTAATCGATTCACATTTCATTTAGGATAAAATCCAAACTTCTTGCTCCAGTTTACCTTCTTACTCTAACTTACTCTATTTTACAGATCCTAAATGAGACTTCATCTTAGATGGGTACTATGCTTCAGCTACCTAAGTATTTACATTTCACAAATAAGCTAAATTTAATCTTAGCTATGGGCTTTGTACTAATTAATTTTCCTTAATAGAAAGTGTTCCTTCCAACTCTTTGAAGGACTTGCTCCTTCTTGCCATTCAAATATCAATTAAGTTTAATGTTTTCAGAGAAAATTTTTAGTGAGAAATAGCCGAAGTCACTCTTGGTCATCATATCAAACCACATCATATGTCACCACAACACACATTTCACTATTTGATTCTCTTTTTTCCCAGTTAGTTGTTGGCTGAATGATCAGTCTACTTATTTTATATATATCTAGCCATCTACCTATCCATTTATCTATTTCTCTTTCTATCTACCTACTTATGTATCCATCCACCCATCCATCCATCCATCCATCCACCTGTCCATTCACCCATCCATTTGTCCATCCATCTATCCATCCATCCATCTCCTCTGTTGGACCTTGTAACTAATATTTTTTAAATGTATTTATTGCCTTTTAAGTAGGGTTTGGGAGAGAGTACAGATACATATATATGATTAATTGTAGGGTGACCATATAATTTATCATCCAAAACAGGACACTTTTGAGGGTAACAAGAATTATCATTATATTGGGACAAGAGGTGAAACCTGGTCTCAGGCATATGATTATCCAATCTAATACCAGCAGTGTCTTTATATAAATTATAGAAGATTTATAAGATTTTAATATCTGGTATGTTTTATATTTCTTTATTCATTATTTAATAAGGCTATTGATTATTCTATTATTTTTCCTGTTGCACTTTACATCAATATTATTAAATTCACATATCTCTACACTGGGATTTTTTTCTTCTTTTACTTTAAGTCATGGGGTACATGTGCAGATCTTGTATACCTATGTATAACAACGTTACATAGGTATTCATATGCCATGGTAGTTTGCTGCCTCCATCCCCCTGTCACCTACGTTAGGTATTTCTGCTAATATTATCCCTCCCCAATCTCTCCATCCCCTGCTATCCCTCCCCTAGTCCCCCACCCTGCAACAGACCCCAGCGTGTGATGTGTCCCTCCCTGTGTCCATATGTTCTCATTGTTCAACACCCACTTATGTGTGGGTGAGAACATGGTGGTGTTTGGTTTTCTGTTCTTGTGTCAGTTTGCTGAGAATGACGGTTTCCAGATTCATCCATGTCCTACAAAGGAAATGAACTCATCCTTTTTTGTGGCTGCATAGTATTCCATTGTATATATGTGCCACATTTTCTTTATCCACTCTGTCTTTAATGGGCATTTGGGTTGGTTCCAAGTCTTTTCTATGTTAAACAATGCCACAATGAACATATGTGTGCATGCATCTTTATAATAGATCAATGTATAATCCTTTGGGTGTATACCCAGTAATGGGATTGCTGGGTCAAATGGTATTTCTATTTCTAGATCCTTGAGGAATCATCACACTGTCTTCCACAATGGTTGAACTAATTTACACTCCCACCAACAGTGTAAAAGCATTCCTATGTCTCCACATCCTCTCTAGCATCTGTTGTCTCCAGATTATTTAATGATTGCCATTCTAACTGGCATGAGATGGTATCTCAATGTGGTTTGGATTTGCATGTCTCTCATGACCGGTGATGTTGAGCATTTTTTCATATGTTTGTTGGCTGCATAAATGTCTTCATTTGAAAAGTGTCTGTTCATATCTTTTGCCCACTTTTTTGATGGGATTGTTTGTTTTTTTCTTGTAAATTTGTTTAGTTCTTTGTAGATTCTGGACATTAGCCCTTTGTCAGATGGGTAGATTGCAAAAATTTTTTCCCATTCTGTTGGTTGCTGGTTCACTCTAATGATTTGTTTCTTTTGCTGTGCAGAAGCTCTTGAGTTTAATTAGATCCCATTTGTCAATTTTGGGTTTTGTTGCAATTGCTGTTGGTGTTTTAGTCATGAAGTCCTGGCTTATGCCTATGTCCTAAATTGTATTGCGTAGGTTTTCTTCTAGGGTTTTTATCGTATTATGTCTTAGGCTTAAATCTTTAATCCATCTGGAGTTAATTTTTGTATAAGGTGTAAGGAAGGGGTCCAGTTTTAGCTTTATGCATATGGCTAGCCAGTTTTTCCACTGCCATTTATTAAACAGGGAATCCTTTCCCCATTGCTAGTTTTTGTCAGGTTTGTCCAAGATCAGATGGTTGTAGATGTGTGGCATTACTTATGAGGCCTCTGTTCTGTTCCATTGGTTTATATCTCTGTTTTGGTACCAGTTACTGAGTTACATTTGGAGCAGAAATAACACTGTTCAGGAATATGATGTATGACATTGGTTTGAAAGGACATTTTTAAGAAACATATATCCTCATTTCATTAAAAAAAATCTTTCAGAACATTTGATGTTTCCTTCACATGTGCTCATATAATTTTAAACCTTTTTTTAATAATCATTTTATATTTTGTCATGCTGATGTAAATGGGATTTTTTTTTCTATCTTTTTTGCAGTTTTTTTTTATGACAGGGTCTCACTTTGTCACCCAGCTTGGAGTGCAGTAGTGCAGTCACAGCTCAATGCACCCTTAACGTCCCTGGTTCATGTGATCCTCCCACCTCAGCCTCTCAAGTAGCTGGGACTATAGGCACATGCCACCATGCCTGACTAATTTTTATATGTTCTGTAGAGATAGAGTTTTACCATATTGCTCAGGCAATGGTCTTGAACTCCTGGGCTCAAGCAATCTCCCTGCCTTGGCCTCCCAAAGTGCTGGGATTCTAGGCATGAGCCACTGTACCCAGCACTCCACTTTGTTTTTGTACCTATTATTATTGGTGTGTAGGAAAGCTCTCTGTTTTCTTTCATAGCCATTTAAAGCCCTAGTTCAGATTTTTTTTTCTTTTATTTCCCTGTTATTTGTGCAGGAAATATATTTGTGCTTACAGTGAAAGATGACATTTTTCAAAAATGTCCACAGTAGCATCTCCCATCACAAATGCTCTTCTAGATGTGACCCTGCCACTCTTTCACCAAGAGTCATCTTCCATTGAATCTGGGCTTAGTGACTCACTTGTAGCCGAGAGAATGCAGCAGCAGGGTTGCTGTGTGACATCTGAGGCTGTTCAGCTCCTGCCTAGTTCTCTAGAACACTCCCCCTCTAGGTGCTCCCTTTTGGAAGTGCTCCTCAGAATGCAGATGGCATGCTGTGAGAGGCCCAAGCCACTTGGAGAGGCCTCATGTAGGTGCTCTGGTTTATTTGCATCTGGTGTTCTAGTTGTCCTTGCTAGATGTGGCACCAGACATGGGAGTCTTCTTTAAGCCTCTAGATGATCCCAACCCCAGTCACCAGCTCTGTTCCTAGCTGAGGCCCCAGACCTTGAGGGGAAGACATTGGTCATTTCCACTGGGTCCTGTCTAAATTTCTGATGCTCTGAATTTTTGAGTAGCTTGGAGTACTTTACACAACAGTAAGTAAATGGAACACTTATAAATCAGTTCAAAGAATAAGGAGTCATAATACCTCTGCCATCGGTTACCCTTAAGAACTTCATCATATCCAGTAAGCTTTCTTGGGCTTAAGTTTCCTTATCTGTAAAGGAGTACAGTGTTATTTGACCTTCCAAAACCACAGAGGATTGGTGAGAATCAAGGAGAAAATAATATGAAAGCACTTCGTGAAAATGGATGTGAAATAAATAAATAAGAAGAGATGCGTAAACATAAAGACTCTCTTTTGAGTCAATTATATGCATAATTTTCTAAATCAAATAGGCTTAATGATTCCCTAGGTAGAGCTGGCCCCACACTGTAGGAAAAGTGATCCTGGCCCCTCGGAACATAATCTATATTTCCAAAACATGAAAAGAACTCTCCACTGTTGATAAATGACTGAAATTCCTTCTGAGAAAGGCAAGATTTCTGTGGTTCCATTCAGAATTGAAGAAATCCATATATCTCAGACATGACCTTAAGTAAAACTAAAACTGCTAGAGAGTATCTCACCCTTGTTGAGGTTTTTCTTTACAATCTAAGGTCACCACATTAAAAATAATTGAAACCTCTTGTTGAGACAGCTGCTTACTGTGTTACTCCAAGGCAAACCAAGGCATTGGCCAAAATGGCTTAAGTCTCCAATGTGAAATGCCAGAACCATTAGTGATCAAGCCAAGCTCATCAATTTCCATGCAACCCAAGTAAATCAGAGCTAGATAAGAAAGTGTTTGACCTCTGCAAGGGCACTGAGAGAGATCTCCCTCTAAGTATTTCCACTCTGTTTTCATGTGAGTCTAAGAAAGAAAAGTGTTGATGCAGAAAGTATAAAAATTTGAGCATCCTGATTTATGCCTAGGCTGTTCTCAAACCCAATACCTGCTCACTCTCTTTTTGACACTATTAATTCTCCTCTATTTAAAACAATTTGAGCATCCCTTTCAGTTGTCTGTTTTCTTTAAGAATTTTATAGCTGCAAGTAGCCAAATGAACAGGATTTAGTGCCTAAAGACAGTATGATCTACTTACTGGAAAGAACTCAAATCTTATTATGCAGTTAACAGCATTAACTTCATCTGTCTACTTTCAGAAACCCAGAAATGGAGTAAACAGGGATAATGGTATTTATTTCCTCATGTTATTGTGAGGATTAAATGGTCTTTCATGTCTGGGGGAACAAAGTCATGTTAACATCTTTATCCCAATTTCCCTGACTCAGATCCTCTTCAAACATTGCTGCCGAACATCCCAACACCCTCCTTCCTCATTCCCCACTCCCTCTAGGCATTTCTGGAATGTCCCATGTGTTTTCACACATGCCCACATGGGGATCTCAGCCCTTATAAAATGTGGAGTAAAAGAGTTCCTTCAACTTTTGCTTCAACCTTTAGCCCATAGGCTTCAGGCTGGAGATTAGACGTAATTTTCTCTATAATCCTATTTTTTTCTCCCTCCCAATATACATTTCTGTTCAAATTTATAACTTAACTACCTTTTACCTGTATGCAAATAAACTCATAAAATAGACTCAGGAATCACTATCTTCTAGTTCCTAGGCTTACCTAGACCCTGAATTCTGATGCAGGCTGACTGGGGCACCTGGCACATAAAAATCTCTCCATTTCAAGATCTAATTTTGCCTTCAAAGAGACTCAGTGGCATATCCAAAATCACAGAGTCAGGATTCCAACTCAGGCCTTGTGACACCGTAGAACCTCTTCTGTATGCAACAGTTGGAGTTAGACCCTGGAGCTAGATTGCCATCTTCAAAGCTGGGATCAGTGCTTTCTCATCACTGATATTGGACCAAGTCTACTAACGGACAGAAGACTCAAAGTCTATTTTGTGGCTTAGCCTGGTTGTTTCCCTCCATGATTCAGACCTATAAAGATCATTCTGCAAAATCTGTGATGCCTTCCTACTCAGTATGAAAAATCACATCTTTAATTTTCACCCTTGGCAAATACTTGAGTGTGCTTTTCTTGAGTAAATAATAGTTATTTGTGTTTAATTTCTATTGTGTAATCAAAATTTCGATGTATGGGCTGAGTCACAGCTTAAATTAAACCTGCCTCATAAGGATTTTGTATTCAACATTTTTTTCTTTTAAACTTTTTTAAATATCCTGGAATAATTCTTGGAGAACATTTTCAGAGACAGCTAGGTAGTGCTGTCACACACATACATACAGAAACATCCAGTGATTTTTAGTTTTTCTACCAAAGGACCAGCCTACTTGGCATCCAGATTCACATACAAGTGACATGCAGTGAGTGTTCATGTAAGTCAGCTGAGATAGCCCAGCCAGCTTATTCCTATGAACCACCCCATACAATTCAGAAAACCAGTAAGTTGAACATCAATATAGCATTGATTTCCAGCCAAGAAACTTATAACTCTTTTTTGTGTAGTCTAAAGAGATCAGCTAAAATGATCCCTTCGAGCCCCTAATGAGGGAGGCTTGCAGGCCACAGCCAAACATTTTCTACCTCTTTGGAGGGGCTGGCCTGGAGACTCAGAAAACTATCTGAAGCTCTTGACTTTGTCCTGTTGATTCTTGAAGAGGTAGGGAAGTCATAACATATTCTGTGTAAAAAGAAAGGGGATTCAGTTAACGGGAACATCATTTAACTATGTATTTTAACCAAGATTGTCATGATTAGATATGTTTGCTGGAAAATGTCTCCAAAAGAATCCCTTTCTGTTCTTCCTCATTGTCTTTATTTAGATTTCACTTCACTTCTGTGTCTTTTTATACCTCTTGGGCAGGAATTTAAACAACATTGAAACTTGTATCAAAAACCATAACTACCAGACTGGCTTGCTAACCCTGAACCAAATAAATATTTATTTAAAACATAGGCTAAATGAAAGAATTTGTTTTCCTCTTTCTTTTTAAAATTCTAATGAATAGGTTTGAAATGGAATGACCATTTTCCCCCTTAATTGAGAACACCACAAAGTATTCTCAGAAATGAAGTGAACAAAATTGATGATTTTTAAAATTCCAAAGTCTACAATCAAAGGGAGAGATTTGGGGTCACTACCTGGAAGATGTATTTTGTACCTGAGATGTTGGGCAGATGATGAAGCTTTCTGTAGCTATGTCTCATTTCTCACTCATCTTACCCCTTAATTTCAGGAAGTTGATTATTGAAACTTGGGCCGACCTCTGTATTCTCCATGGCACCCATGACTTGTGAAGTCTAGAAAGTCCTTGGAATGGGTAGGAAACCATTAGCCAATCAAATCATTGTTCTGTGCACTCCTATTAGCTCCTGAAACTTACAAAGCAAATTAGCTACTGCTCCAGCTTTCCAAAAGAGAGAGAGGACAAAAAAAAAGTCTGATTTTCAAAAGGTATTATAGATACGCACTTTCTCTTAAGCTTAAGCTTGGGTTATTTAAAATAATTACTGTAACACCTGTACTTTGCTTTCTCTGAGGAGACCTTAATTTCTGTACCAGGCAAAAATAAACCCAAAGAATACTTTGCACACTGAAAATGAGACCCTCAATTCAGCTTGACATTTTCATTAGCACTTAAATGAATGAGAGCCTAGCAGCTCACATTAGAATCTTATCCTCTCAGCTAAATGTGACAGGTTACTCCTGGCACTTTGGAGGACAATTGTTTCTTCTCACCCCGTCTCTATACACCAAAAGTCCCGCTGTTATCACCCATGTTGATTTTAGCTCAATTCGTACTAGAGATAAAGATTTTATTTTAAAGTTTAAAAAAAGATTTTAATTTTAAAGTTCAATCTTTAATGATTAACTTAATCTGTAGCACAACCTCATGAGGGAGGTTCTGTTACTTTCACTTCACACGAGAAGAAAGTAGAGGCATAGTGTTTTAAATTCCCTGACTCTGTAGCCTCTGTGTTGGCCTGATTTGTTTACTGCCGTTTTCTCAAAATCTGGCATGTTTGGCACATAATAGGCACTCAGTAAATACCTGCAGACTAAAATATACATGCAAGCATGAATGAATAAATGCACAAACAACCCCAAGGCCACATAGCCAACTAGGACCTAGGCAGCTATCTACCCCTGTCTGTGTTTTTGGGGACCTCTGTACACAGATAATTCAGGTGATTTGCCTGCACTGTGACCTCAGTCTACTCAAGAGGAAGACATGACTACCTGCTCATTGTCATAACCTTTGTGAAATCACCAACCAAGGCAGGACCAGATTTAGGATCCCCTAGGGTTGTCATAGCTACTTGTTTGGGTTTGTTATGAACAATCTGGTGAAGGCAAAGAAGTAGGTTATATAATGGAATCTGATAGAACTCTTTTTTTTTTTTTTGAGACAGAGTCTCTCCCTGTCACCAGGCTGGAGTGTAGTGGCTTGATTTCTGCTCACTGCAACCTCCACCTCCTGGGTTCAGGTGATTCTCCTGCCTCAGCCTTCTGAGTAGCTGGGACTGCAGGTGCCCACCACCACACCCAGCTAATTTTTGTATTTCTAGTAGAGACGAGGTTTCACCATGTTGACCAGGGTGGTCCCCATCTCTTTACCTGGTGATCTGCTTGCCTCGGGCCTCCCAAAGTTCTGGGATTATAGGCATGAGCCACCGCACCCAGCCAAGAAATCTGATAGAACTCTTAACTGCCCAACACTTACCCTCTCTCTGCTCCAGTTCCATCATCTGGAAAATAGAAGTAATTATATTTACCTCAGGAGGGGATTGTGAGGATTAAATTTTAAAATGTAAACAAAACACCTAGCATCAAAGTCTTGTATGTAGTGGGCATTCAGTAATAGTTTACCTTTTCCTCCACCCGTGGAACCTGAAGTTCTGTCCCCATTTTTGAATAGGCAACACAATGCTATGCTCTCTTCTTTTCAAGCACAGTGGAGAGGGAAAAAGCCTGAACAAGAAGATTCACCCTAGGGCATAGAGGATGAAAATATATTCAATTTGTACTGACTGTTCTCCTGCAGGTAAAACATTCCCTTGAAGATATTTCAGTGTGTGCTAAATACTCTGAGATAATTCTGGCATTTGTGGATATGGAATAAATGCCAAATTGACTGAGGTGTTGTGGCTGCTGAAACAAAGCCTAAGTAAATAGTATGAAACACTGTGGGTAAGGTGTAGCTGTTGTGAGGTTAGGGAGGCAGGCTTTTCAGAATCTTTATTAAGAGAAGTAGGGATTAGAATTAAGCAATACTAAGGACTCAGATTTTAAGAAAATTTGTTTTTAAAAACATGTACCTATGAAGCTGAAAGTATCTTTTACAGAAAAAAAGGAGTGGCTTCCAAAATGGGATTGAAATGCCTTTCAGTGTTTTCCTTGAATGCAACATCAGATCTCTTTTGGGACTGAAAAGGAAGGGAGGCATTGGGGAAAGAAGCAAAGTGGGGATCAGTGAGGCAGGCCTTAGGAAGCTCACTGGAAGAGTGGAGGCAACTGTGTCACTGCCTTTTCACCCCAGCTGAGACTTGCAGTGGAAAGTATTTTTGAAGGTAAGCTTTAATTTAAAAAAAAAAAAAAGAAGGAAGGAAGGAAAGGAGTGAGGGAGTGAGGGAAGAAGGAGGGTCGGACGGGAGGAAGGAGGGAAGGAAGAAGGAAGAGGGAAAGAAGAAAGGAAGGAGGGAAGGAAGGAAGGAAAGAAGCAAGGAAGGAAGGAAGGAAGGGGAAGGGGAGAGAAGGGAATGAAAGGAAGGAAATAAATGCCTGTTAAAGCACCTGCAGAGGAGTCCTGAGAGCCTGAGCTCAGAAGCTGCTTACAGTGTGTTTTTCTGCTACCAGCATGATGAAGTACATTCAGAAGAAAATGTTACATCCCACACAAGACACTCAGCCAGAACTGAAGCAAAGTTCCCTAGACTGTGAAAGAAGCTCTCCCTCTTTTTCTTGTTTCCTTTCCTACTGTCACCCAAAAATTTAGCACCATTGCTTCACTTCTGTAAAATGTCTTAGAGATTTGAACAATGGAAGGAAGGCCTTTAATAAGATGTTTCCCTTAAAACAAGAGGTGATAAAGCCAGATTTAGGAATGGGAGTTTAAAGATAAGGCTAATATGAAGTCCATTTGTCTTCTCTCTTTCTGCCCCTTGTAGGTCCATAGTGAGTGACCATATGAGGACGGATGTTGGCTGTGTTTGTATCTCATTTCCATGGCTAATTCACATGTCTTCCTTTTGTCTGTCATCTTCTTTTATTCTTGTCTTTATTTATCTTTCTTCTTATTCCTGCTACTTTAATTTCCATTCCATTGAATTCTATTCCCATCTTCTCTCCTTTCTTTTTTCTCTTACTAATATGTTCATACAAGAATTTCTGAGAATGACAGGTTTAGAGATACCCCTTCTTCACCTGCCAATATTAAATACAAGAGATTTTTATTTTATAGTTTATTTAAAATAATATTTCTCTGAAAACTTTCTTAAAAACTGGAATGCTCTTTGAGATAATTTGATGCAGATTGGGATGTAGCAAAATCAGAGCTGTGTTTCTGAGGCAGGAGAATAGGGCCAGGAGGCAGGGAACCTAAGGACTTCCTAAATCTAAATCAAATGGAAACACATCAGCTATGACAGGAAATATCTTCTTCATTTACATAAGGCATACACCAAATAAATGACTTTGCAACTTCACTTTAGCCTCTTCATTTAAATAGGACATGTACCAGGTAACCAATGGAAGCCTCTAGAAGGTATTTAAATCCCAGAAAATTCTAGAACTGGGCTCTTGAGCCCCTATGCTCAGACCTGCTCCCACCCTGTGGAGTGTACTTTCATTTTTAATAAATCTCTGCTTTTGTTGCTTTATTCTTTCCTTGCTTCGTTGGTGTGTTTTTGTCCAATTCTTTGTTCAAAATGCCAAGAACCTGGACACCCTCCACTGGTAACATTTCCCAGCACTGAAGATCTTGGTAGATCCTAGACAAAGTAAAATATGTTTGCCTTTGGTTAGAATAACCTACCATAATAACTCAAGGGAATATTGCAGTATAATTTATAAGTGACCTAAATGTTTTCTGTGTGGACCATAGCAGCTAAATTATGAACCCTGAACCTTCATAATATGATTATCAACCTTAATAAGAATTCTAAGTGTAACTTTGTACTTGTTGACCAACCTCTTCTGGTCCCCTCTCTCTCCTACCCTCCTCAGCCTCTGGTAGCCACTGTTATACTTTCTCCTTCCAGGAAATAAACTTTTTTAGATTCTACATATGAGTGAAATTATTTGATGTTCATTTTTCTGTACCTGGCTTATTTCACTTCACATTGTGTCCTCCAGGTTCATCCTGAATGTACCATTCACCTATCAATGGGTGTTTAGGTTACAGTTAGAAAGGAAGAGTTAGTTCTAGTGTTCTAGTACACAGAAGGCTGACTATAGCAAAGAACAATGTAGTATATGTTTCAAGATAGGTAGAAGAGATTGTTAATGTTATCTCCACTAAGAAATGATAAATGTTTAGGGTAAGAGATATGATTATTACTCTGATTTCATCATTAAACAACATATACATGCATTGAAACAACATACTGTATCCCATAAATATGTGTAATTGTTATGTGTCTATTGAAAAATAAACATTGATTTCAACAGAAAAAGTTCTAAAGATCTTTCTGTTACTCCTGTCTCAGTCCTGGGTGCCTAACTCAACTTCAAATTATTCATTCATGGTTAATCCAACACTTCCTATTATCAGCACTCACTTCTTCTATAACAGATTTAGGAAGTGACAGTGATGCAAAATTCTTAACATGGTCAATGTAATATAATTACAGGTCTAAAATGAATTATTTTATAGTCAGAGTAACTATCTTTAGGAATCATACCTTTTTTTCTTATCTAATAACAGTTTTGGCTTCTTTTTTCTACCCATCCTGACTTGTTCATTTATTTCATAAACATCAAATGTGACAATATCTAGGCATTTAATGTTTATGGAATAAATGAATGAATAAATGCCTACAACAGCTACATGCTGGGCATTAGAAACACAGGAAGTGAACAGATTGACATGGCTAGGTCATCCCAAAGCTTAACATTTATTTTTTCTTTGAGTGCCTTGATTTTCACCAGCCCTCAATGACTGCAATGAAAAAAAAAAAATAGCTAATTTCTTGACATGAATATTGATACTTTCAAACACAGCAATACTAGACTCCCCAATTTTAAAAAAATCCTTTTTTAAGGCTGAAACAGTTTAGTTTGGTTCTTAAGAGTATACCTTGAATTCAACAATTTACCAAGCATTATAAAGTACCTATAGAGTGTGAATCATTGTATGTAAGATATTCTACAAATAAAACCCAGATGCAATCTTTAAAGACTATATAGAGATACACACATTTTCACTTTTTTCTACTTTTGAGTTTTTTTAAAATAGAGGTATAATTTACATATAATAAAATTGGTAGATGTTAAATTTTCAGTTTAGTGAATTTTGGCAAATACATACAGTTATGGATATCTACAGTTATGTTAAGATATATAATGCTTCCATTATCCCAGAAAATTTCCTTCCCTCCTC